TACAACTGAGCTCTCACCATCTAATTCTAAACTTTGATTGTCTATGCTATGCTAGTAAAAACTGAAATACATACACAATTATGCTGCTTGAAGTAAAGGACAAGATGGTGTACCTCATTCCCATTTCGACATCCAGAAGCTAACTGGGCTCCCAGTTCAATCTGATGCTGGGAATGCTTCATTTAACACACCAGAGAGCAGAGGGCTAGTTTAAGGGATGAGGACAGACTGTGCATCACATACAGCTATTGGTGTGTGCCTTCAAGTCAGATTTTAACTTATGTCAATCCTAAGGCAAACCTATAGTGGGTTTTTCTTGGCAAAATTTGCTCAGAAGGAATTTGCCTTTGCTTCCCTCTGAGGCTGAGAGAATGTGACTTGCTCAAGTTCATCATCCAGGGGGTTTCCATGGCTGAGCTGTGATTCCAACCCTGGTCTCCAGAGTCACAGTGCTCAGTATGCAAAGGGATCTTGTAGCAGCGAAATAAATTGGTAGCATAAGCTTTCATAGACTGGAACCTACTTCCCCAGATGCATGGGAGAGGCATACTCAAACCACTATACTGTGCAATATGTGGTTGGCCAAGGGCCACAGATCTTAAGGACAGCACAGGTAACAACATCCCCTTGGGAAAGTGAGCAAGGCAAGGAGGAAAGAAGGGCTGGTCAAGACTTGTCTGGACACTTGCCAGGCAAGAGTAATCCAGACAAGTGTTTTGCTTCTTCCTTTCGCTAGAGAAGAAAATCAAATCAAAGCTGGCTGCAGCTCAGCCATCCTCCCAAGCGTGCGGCAATTCTTGTTCAAGATCCAATCGCCAAGAGTGATAGTAGTGTGTGTCTATATCAGCCAATTCTAAAAACAATATCGCAAACTATTATGGTAATACTGTGTGCAATTCTTATGTCATTAGTAGTATTACTGTTACAATTGGATGTATGCATTATACACAAATATATAACCACAAAGTTGTCTCACACATTCCACTGGTTCTAATGCATTAGGAAAAAAACCCCAGAGATATAAAAGACAGCATTCAGTCCTTGATGCATGAAAATTCATTGTTTCATGTAATTCTTGCCATTATTCACAGTAGCAGTAACACCTTCTTCCTTCAGAGCTCATATATGTAAAGAGCTGTAAAATCAGTATCTCCTAACTAATCTATCAAATACATACTTTTATCTTAAAGGTTCCAATGCATCAGCAAAAATCCAGTATTTCAGCCAAAAAAAGGCAGCTACATCTGGATAATCTCCACCTGTTTTGTTCTGTCGTCATATTTTTCAGTTTTGTGAGACATTTTGTATTCTCTCTTGGAGAGTTCTAGTGCCACAAAAAACTACAAGTCCCAGGCTTTCATAAGATGAAGCCATGACAGATAAAGTGCTGTCAAACTGCATTAATTCTGCATTATGGCAGTAGCCTTGGGGATGGGGGGGGGGGGAGATGATGCACTAGTACTAACTTTGAGTTAGTCATAATGTGGCTGAATATACAGGAATTCAGCCCCCGAATTTGGAAAACTATGGTTGCATCTGCACTGCAGAAATAATCTAGTTCGCCTTGAACTGTCATGGCCCAATGCTATGGAATTCTGGGAACTGTAGATTTGTGAGACATTTATCCTTCTGTGTCAGAGATTTCTGATGCCACAAGAAAGTGCAGTTCCCAGAATTCCATGGGATTGAGCCATGGCAGTTAATGTGGTGTCAAACTGGACGATTTCCGCATTGCAACCCTAAGAACTTGCACCGAAAAACTGATTTCTTCCACATTTTATTTTCTTTCCCCTCTGAAATGCTTTCCATTCAGAGTCTGGAGAATCTGGTACATTTTGCAAAATGCTGGTTTCTTTTTAAAGCTGAAACAAAATTCTCTCCTGTCAATGCTTCAAAAGTTAGCACTATGCTAGGGTTGGGGAAAACATAGTGCACATTAAATTGAGGCACTGTCCTGGCTCAGTGCTAGGGAGTCATGGGAATTGTATTTTTTTCTGAGACATTGAGCCTTCTCCATCAGAGAGCTCTGGTGCCACAATAAATTACAGTTCCCATGATTCCCTAGCACTCAATTTAATGTGCACTATTTCTGGCAGTCTGCTTGTCCATTTGGTCTGTGGGTTACCTGTGGCCAGTGAAGTCTCCCACACTCCCACATCACAAAGCAGCCATACCATCGTCCACCACGCAACTTCTGTCTCCAGTTCTTGGCCTGGTTATAGTTGTCTGGCTCCAGTAAAAGCACACAAATCTTATATACAGTTAAGTTTTTTGGGCTTTGTTTTTAAAGAGTCCAAAGAGCAAATCTGATGTGCCGGGGTGTGTCTCCTTCAGCTACGATCCTTTCTGCAGCTAATGTACACACAGGCAGCAAAAAGGAGGAAACATCAGCATCATTTGGGCTGCAGGTTTTGACTGCGATTGTTTTTGGGCCTTGCCTTTCTTTCAAGGAAAGGGGTTAACCACTAACAGGTGCACATAGGGAGTCAAGGACTGTACTGATGCTATATTTTAGCAGAAACGTGTGCTCCACCTTCACATGTGCGTACATGCATGTGCACACAGGCAAAACCTGTCTTGAATTATAGGTATAAAAGAGGGCCTGTATGCCATCACATTTGAGCATGGAAAAGTTCGTTTTTTAAAAAATCTGTAGCTCCCAGAACCACAGAACCACCATGGTTGGATCGGAAAAAGGAACATCTCAATATGAGAAACCCAGAATCAGGTCCAATTTCTGCCAGTTTCATGAAACTGAAGGAGGAAGGAAGTTACCCTCCATCAGCCAAGCGGCACAAACCAAAATCTGGACCCATCCTCTTGTAATTAGGGCCTTTGCAGACTGCCAGAAATAGCAGAAATAGTGCAAATTGAGTCCACTTTAACTGCCCTGGCTCAGTGCTAGGGAATCATGGGAATTGTATTTTTTTCTGAGACATTAAGCCAGGGACCAGCAACCTATGGCCCGTGGGCCGGTTAAGGCCCCGGGCCCCGGACTTACCGGCCCAGGCCAAAGGTTGCCGCCGTCGCCGTCGCCACCGCGTGCCACCCCCGGGAAGCATTTTTGCCGCTTTGCAGCCATGCTCTCTGCGATTGCCATTTTGGAAGTCAAAATGGCGGTCGTGACGCATTTGCGCATGTGCAGTACTCTTGTGCATGCACAAACATGTCGCGGCCGCGATTTGGACTTCCAAAATGGCGGCCGCGACATGCGCCGTGGCAACTGCGGCCGCGCGTGCTACAGCGGTGACCGCAGTAACGGCCGCGGCAGCATGTGCGGGGGGGTCCCACGCGCGGCGGAGGAGGGTGCATGCACGTGCGTGCGTGAGTGCGCGCGCCGCCATTCCCCCGGCCCAGCCGAGACCTGGGCAACGGGAGACCAGCCCAGGTCTCAAAAAGGTTGCCTGTCCCTGCATTAAGCCTTCTCTATCACAGAGCTCTGGTGCCACAATAAACTACAGTTCCCATGATTCCCTAGCACTGAGTCAGGGCAGTTAAAGTGGACTCAATTTGCAGTTTTTTTTCCCCCACATTGTAGATGCTGGTGCTAGGCAGTAGCTGTCCCAGTAAAGGCAAGGGCTCATTCCCACTTACATTTAACCTGGTTTGCGATTCGTTTTCGCTCCGGGTTGGTGAATCAATTCCAGTCCACGCGTCGTTCTCACTATGGAAGTGGGTCTTTTCTTTCTTTGCTCCATTTTTGGCACGATTCTCATTCCCACTAGTTTGTGAGCCTTCAAAATGCCTGTAACAACAATGGTTATATCCCTCTACAATGAAGCTGGTGAGCTGGGGCTGAGGCACAGTGTTGTTGTGTCTGCAGACATGTTGCGCCGTTTGGCCCAAGCGAGAGAAATCCCAACTAATACCGGAAAAAGCCATTCTAAAGAAGCGCCAGGAAAGGAAACATTGAGTTGTACTTCCTCTAGAACCAGAGAGCCAGAAACCCACAAGATGAGGAGGAGTTCTCCAAGCAAAGAGTTCTCTGGTTATTCAGCTGGAGGAGAGAACAACTGGTTATTCTCATTGCAAAATAATGCGTCCACCTCCGCAGTGTTGTGTTGTATTGTGTTGTGTGCCTTCAAGTTGTCTCTGACTTATGGCGACCTTAAGGCAAACCGATCATGGGGTTTTCTTGGCAAGGTTTGTTCAGAGCGGAGGTTTGCCATTGCCTTCCCCTGAGGCTGAGAGAGGTCTAAGGGCCTTTGCAGACTGCCAGAAATAGTGCAAATTGAGTCCGCTTTAACTGCCCTGGCTCAGTGCTAGGGAATCATGAAAACTGTAGTAGAGCTCTCTGACAGAAAAGGCTCAATGTCTCAGAAAAAAATACAATTCCCATGATTCCCTAGCACTGAGCCAGGGCAGTGAAAGTGGATTCAATTTGCACTATTTTTGGCAGTCTGCAAACTAAGGGCCTCGGCAGATGACTAAAAAGGTCGTCCTCGAGGCCCGGAAGAGGAGCCACCACACGAGCGGCGCTCCTTTCCTCTTCCTGAGGTCGCCCTGGAAGCTGCCGGCCCTCCGCACGGCCGGCGCTTCCGGGGCAACCTCCCGCCGCAGCGACTGGATGCGCTGCGGCGGAAAAGACAGGGAAAGTGCGCCCGACGCTTTTAGGGCGCACTTTCCCTGTCTTGAGGAAGGAGCGCTGATTTAGCGCTCCTTCCAGGGACGCCGCCGGTGCGCCGTGTTGCGGAGGCTGTGGCCCCACGGCGCGCCAGCCCAGGGCGTCCTGGACGCCCTCGTCTGCTTCTCCCCTTTATCACACTGCAGGAATAATCCAGTTTGAGACCACTTTAACTGCCCTGGCTCAAGGCTAGGGAATTCTAGGAACTGTAGTTTTGTGAGACATTTTGCCTTCTCTGTCGGAGAGCTCTTGTGCCGCAATAAACTACAGTTCCTAGGATTCCCTAGCAATGAGCCAGGGCAGATAAAGCGGTCTCAAACTGGATTATTTCTGCAATGTGTTTTGGACCAGAGTGCGAATCACTCAGTGGGCTTCATGGCTGAGCAGGGAATCGAACCCAGGTCTCCGCAGTCTTAGTCCAATGCTCAAACCACTACGCCACACTTGCTCTCTCAGCAATGGTAGTACTGTGTAATATTTGATCAGATGAAATGAATAGAGAGAACATCTTGGGTTGCTTTAGGGTGAGTGGAGTAGACTTCCTGCAGAAGAAACCCCTCTCCAGTAAAAGGCACAAGAACTCAATGTCAGAGTGGTCAAGAATGCAAAAAATTATGGTCAAGACTGCAAAAAAAAAAAAAAAATGAATTGGGAAGAACAACAAGCTTGGAGGGGCTACAGCAGTTTGCTTTTTCCTAGATTTCCAAAGGGTGCATCTGTACTGTAGAAATAATCTAGCTTGACATCACTTCACCTGCTATGGTTCAATGTGATGCAGGTTTGGGATTTATAGTATTGTGAAATATTTAGCCCTTTCTGTCAGTGTGTTGTAGTGCCACTACAAATCCCTGAATTCTATCTCATTGAGTCATGGTAGTTAAAGTGGTGACAAACTCTATTATTTCTGCAGTGCAGAGGCCATCAAGGAAGGGCAAGGTCCTCCCTCTCTTTCCTCTCATCCCCTACAAAGTGAGGGAAAATGACTTCTGCACTTTGAACTCAGTTTGCGGCAATTGAAGTAGACTGAGCACAAAGAGGGAAAGTGGGAGGAGGAATGAGAAGCTGGGACATTTTAAAAGCAGCTTAAAAAGTGGGATTATAGAGGAGTAATCCATACAGTTGGAGGCTGTGCAATTTGTAATTTAATAAGATGCCCTAGGAATAGAAGCTGTATAGTTAAATTCCAGAGCAGAATTTTTTTTGGTTGTGCTCTTCACCTCCCTTATGGAAGCCTGGTATGACTTTAAAGACCAGGATTCGGTTCCCAGCTTGGCCATGAAACCCATTGTGTGACCTTGGGCAAGTCACACACTCTCAGCCTCAGGGGAAGCCAATGGCAAACCTCTTCTAAATAACTCTTGCCAAGAAAACCCCATGATCGGGGAAATGACTTGAAGGTACACAGCAACAACAACAAAACTCACATTAAGAACTGAGGAACCATAAGCACTAGTAAAACAGATAAAATGATTTTTTCTTCATTATTTATCCCTCCGTGGATACCAAAACTGGTGGATGCTTGAGTCTCATTACATACATTGCCATAGGACTTTATCACACAGGCAAAAGAGATGAGATAATAGTGCTATGCCTCCATGAAAATCGCACAATAACGGGATGCTTTTCACATGACATTGCATGATGTCGCCATTATCGTGCCATTATCCCATGAATAAAAAAGTGGCACAATTTTGATGCTTTTTTCACGGGACAATCGCACGATAATGGCAATGTCGTGTGAAAAGCATCCCATTATTGTGCGATTATTGTGCGATTCATGGATTTCCCCATGAATAATTTGTTTCTGATTATTGCCTGTTTAATAGCGGTGTTGTGTGAAAACCTTAAGTGCGATATTGCTTTTTGCTCAGGACAATTGCTGTTTAAATCCCCGATTTCCCCTGTGTGATAAAGTTCATATGTCTCTTTTTAAAAAGGATTGCTTTTTGGAATTTCTATCTATTTGGAACACTTTCAGTCTGTGGATGTTTGAATTGGTGGATTTAAGAAAAAACTGTGGATATGGAAGGCCAACTGTATATCGTGCATTTTTGTCTTTTGTTGTTAACTGCCCTCGAGTCGACCTCGACTCATGGCAACCCTATGGATGAGACATCTCCAGGAAGACCCTTTGTCCTCCACTGCTCTGCTTAAATCCTGCAAGCCCTTCATACCCAAAGTGACCTCCTTCATAGAGTCCCTCCATCTGGCATGTGGCCTTCCTCTCTTCCTACTTCCCTCCACTTTTCCCAGCATTATTGTCTTTTCCAATGAGTCCTCTCTTCTCATGATATGTCCAAGGTACGGCAGCCTCAGTTTGGTCATCTTGGCTTCTTCCAGGGAGGTTTCCAGCTTGATCTGCTCTAGGACCCATTTGTTTGTCCTTTTGGCTGTCCATGGGATCCTCAGCACTCTTCTCCAGCCCCACATTCTCTCAAATGCATTGATTTTCTTCCTATCCTCTTTCTTAACTGTCCAGCTCTTACATCCATACATTGTAATAGGGAATACATTGGCTTGTATGATTTAACTTTTGTGCTGAGGTGTATATCTTTGCATTTGAGAATCTTTTCTAGTTCTTTCATAGCTGCCCTCCCCATTCTTAGTCTTCTTCTGATTTCCTGACTGCAGTCCCCATTTTTATCAATGCTGGATCCCAGGCATGGGAATTCTTTTACTACGGTATTTCTGTTTCTTCATTGTCTAGGTTGAACTTGTGCAGATCTTCATAGTGTTGGAAGAGACCACAAAGGCCATCCAGTCCAACCCCATTGTGCCATGCAGGAGCTCTCAATCAAAGCATCCCTGACAGATGGCCATCCAGCCTCTGTTTGAAGACCTCCAAAGAAGGAGACTCCACCACTTTCAGAGGGAGTGTGTTCCACTGTTGAACAGCTCTTACTGCCAAGAAGCTCCTCCTCATGTTGAGGTGGAATCTCTTTTCCTGTCGCTTGCATCTGTTGCTCTGGGTGGTCCTCGGTGGTCATTATTTTTGTTTTCTTGATGTTCAACAGTAATCCTGACTTTGCACTTTCTTCTTTGATCTTCCTTAGCAGGTGTTCCAGG